AAATCGATATATCTCGATTCCTAGACGTGACCCAGCGAAACGCCGGGCCACGTATAACTTGTTTTTGACCGATATAACATTTCCCGTTGGTTTCATCCCATCCCGATTTTGACTGTCGCATAGTGTAATTAAAATAATAAAATCAGGCGTGTTTTTATTCACAGGAATGTGATAATATGCTTAAAATTTTTGGGCTGATGAATACCCGCTAGAACAGTATATGCCAAATTCCTTATATAAGCCGCATCACTAAGAAAATTATCCCTTGTGAATTTGAAATGTTTCCCTTATATTGTACAGGCCAAATAGAGTAGTTCATTTACGTGTGATATTTTGTCCCCCTCTTTCAAATTGGCTTCTTGTGCGCATATATCAGGTTTGATAGCTGTTGACCATACTAATAATGCCTCATACTCAGTTTTACTAGATCAATTCGTGTTCTCGAGAAAAAAAATTTCACGATTCAAAAATCTGAGTGTAGCGCCCAAGTTCTTCTCAAAATTTTGAAAATTCTTCGTTTTTTTGGCCTATATTTGCTTTGTATGGTATTTGCCGCAAAATATAGGCCAAAAACGATAAATGTTCCAAATTTGGAGAAAAAAGAATTTTCAGATTTTTGGATTGTGAAAATTTTTTTCTCGGAGAACACGAATTGATCTAGTAAATCTGAGTATGAGGCATTATTGGTATGGCCAACAGTTATCAAACCTGATATATTCGCACTAAGGTTTTTTTGTGTTCCACAGTGTTATATAAGGGAAACTTTGAGGAATCATATAAAAAATTATACATTACCCAAGTTCACGTACATCCAAGTTCGAGTCAAACAGCAAGCTTTTTAATGTTTTATTTATTTGTTTTTGAAATTAACAATATATTTCAGAATTTATAATTAATACGTTGTGTTCATTTTAGTAAATCCACTTTGATTTTTAATTGTACAAAATTTATTATATACATACAGTATCGGTCATATCAATAGCAACCCCATTTCAAAGTGATATTATTTCCCTCTCATGGTAATTTATTTCTAAGAATTTGCAATAAAAATAAAGTTCAATTTCTAACAAAACCCATATAAACCCAGTTTTAAAACTTCGTAGAAAACTACAAAAAATACAACAAATTTTCACCCAAAATTCACACTTTTTTCTCAGAAGTGTTAGAATTTTTTTGAGCACTCAGTTTTATAGCCCCTTCAATTTTAGTCTTATTATATGCAAGTTTGAAGTGGCTAAAAATTACCGTTGATTTTTTAGAATCGATATAAAAACAAATCGTGTTTAATCGGCTTCCATATACCGAAAAATGCGACTATATATCGAATGCTGAGTGGAATATCGACCTATCTCGGCAGCCAGGTCGAAAACGCTCGATATCAGGGCACTGTCCCAAAAGTTTTGGAATCAGTTTTCAAACAGAAGCTCAATTTCGCAGTGAAAAGTTTAATTTGCCCTTACCAGCACGGGTTTGTTAGTGGGAGGTCGACTGTCTCCAACCTTGCTATATTCATGGAGGACTGTGTTTCTGCGATGCAGTCAGGTCTACAAGTGGACGTTGTGTACACAGACTTTTCGAAGGCGTTCGACAGAGTTTCGCATAAAGTCTTAATTAATAAGTTATCGCGATTGGGTTTTCACTCAACTTTTCTGGAATGGATTAATTCCTATCTGTCAGATAGGCGTTGTACAGTTGCTTTTGATAACGTACTCTACACTCCTTGTGTAGCTACGTCGGGTGTTCCCCAAGGCAGTATCTTGGGCCCTCTTTTATTTGTCTTATTCATAAATGATATTTGATCATGCTTCCAGTATACTAAGTATTTATTATATGCTGACGATCTAAAGGTTTACTCAGCGATCAGAACCTCACAAGACTTTTTTGCTGCAAGCTGAGCTTAATAACCTGCATTCTTGGTGCTCTCTTAATTCCTTATTTTTAAACGTTAGTAAATGTTCCTATTCCACTTTCACCAGAAAGCTTCTTACCGTTCAAACCAATTACAATATTGGGGGCCACGATCTTAATTATGTCGCAGAGGTTAAAGACTTAGGGGTTTACTTCGACTCAAAATTAACCTTCGCAACCCATATTAATTACGCAATTTCCAAAGCTTATGCAATGCTAGCATTCGTACGTCGTAATGGTCAGTTGTTTAAGGATCCCTATACTCTGAAGCTTCTTTATGTCACGTTAGTGAGATCTAGGCTAGAGTATGCGTCTTTCATTTGGCGTCACTATCAGGCCGTCTATATAAACCGGATTGAGAAGATTCAAAAAGTTTTTATTAAATTTGCCTTGCGTTCTCTAAAATTTTCTGAGCCTATACCTCCGTATACTTCTCGTTGTCAACTTCTTAATTTAAGTTCGTTAAATACTAGGCGTTCTTTCCTCGCAGCCTCTTTTGTGGCCAAAATATTGGAGGGCACAGTCGATTGTCCTAATCTTTTGGATAAGTTAGCATTAAACGTTCCGTCTCATAATCTGCGTCGTGTTTCTTTATTCTACCTGGGATTTCCAAAAACTAACTATGTAAAATTCTCGCCATTGTTCAGAACCCTTTCTGAGCTAAATGTGCTCTCTGAATATGATCCGTCTCTCTCATTTGGAACAGTTCGTTTTGTCCTACTTAATTATTTTAGGTAGTGTATAAGCTCTCTTGTTTTATAGTCAGTAAGGATTTTATTCCATTTGATTAAATAAATAAATAAATTTTCAACACCCTATTTCGAAATTTGGCTGGAAAACGCCCTATTTTAGAATTTGATTGAAAAATGCCCTATCTCAGAACTCGGTTCAAAAACACCGTATCTCAGCTGGCGATCCAAAAACGCCCTATCTCAGCACATTTTCGAAGTATTTTCATTTGAGATAGGACTTTTTTGAACCGAATAATAATAATAACATACTATATATATATTTAGTTTCAACATAAAAAAAATTATGTACACATTATTAATTGTCTATACATATCTAAGTCAATATATGTGATATATATGTACATACATCTACATATCGTCGTTTTAAGTACAAAACCGTGTATCAATAAAATGCAAAACCGCGTATCAAGATAATGCAAACCCACGTATGCGAGGTTGCATAAATTATTTTCTAGAGGGTAAAAACACTCATATTTCAAAATGGTTATCTTTTTTTAAAAAGCAATCGCATTTTTGGCTAGTATATTTCAGGAAGAATGGATAAGGATTGAGCCAAGAACTTGTGTGAGCAAATCCCATTTTTAGCAGCAATGTTTTGTACTTTGAACTACGATGTGTATTCACAGGAACGCAGTAATCTAATACACGGGTGAAGCAGGAACGCCGCACAGCAGAAGCATACAAACAATCTGCAAATAAATGGCTTTTTAGGTTTTTAACAAACAAAAACCTGGTTTCAACTTACTTCAACGTGTCTAAAGCACAACGCACACACTAATGCAAAGGCGCAACAGGGACGCAACACTATAAAACACGGGCGGAGAAATACACAGGCGGAGCAGGAACGCAGCACAGCAGAAGGGCCCACAAAATCTGCGAATAAATGGTTCATTAGGTTTTGAAATAACAAAGAGCTGGTTCCAACTTACTTCAAAATATCTGCAGGATGATGCACACAATCAAATTCGGCCGCAGCTGCAGTTCACCAGAGAATGCTGCAAATGGAATGGTTCATCAATGAAGTCAAAATAATATATTGTAACCTACGTGTATTAGCTCTTAATTACAATACCAGCACAGGTCGGCCAGGAAAACACTAAGGAAATGACCTAATAAATGCAAAATTATAATTTACTTGTAAAATAATTCGGTTTTATTACAATACTTACCAAATTTCACGATACAAATGCCAGCGAATAAGAACAAAACGCACAACGAAAATTGAATCAATGTAGCTTGTTTAGAATTTTTTCTAATATTTTGGGAAATGTTCAGTGAAATTAGCAAAGAAACAACACAGTTTCTCCTAAGGAAGTTCAAGATGGCGGATTAGAGCGAGAAGTTGCCAACGTATAACACCTTTCATTATTGCATCATGGAAGTGATCCATAAAAATTTTGAATTTATGTACTAAGAAAAAAATTTTTTTCAGCTTTTTCAAATTAAATAAGCCTCTGCAAGAGGGTTTGTTTAAAAAATACGTGCACATATAATGGTATATGGGGGGTATGGAAATATCCCTTTTCCTTAGCAGTAAACCTTTTAGTGTGGGCAACAATGATGTTTTTCAAATAAGGCAGATCGGAATATGCGCTCTCTGGGAAGACAATACCTGTAATTATTGTACCATGGTGTGCAGGCAATTTTCAAAATTTGTGAAGGGAGAATATATTCATTAGGTGAAACTACGGCAAAAAGAATTTGCTGATTGTATGAGGGATTGTATCTTCAGCATGAGAAACTCCAAATAAGAAGGCTACCATGAGAATGTTGTAAAAGTAAAGAAGTTCTCAAAGATGGAAGGGAAGTGAAACCTTTCGAAAGCTCGCTTTGCAATTGAGCTCATTCCGGATGCTACTCACTGCATTGTGCTTGTCCGAAATCCGGGTCTGAAAATAATCCGTTACCACTCGTGATTCAAAAATAGTCGGATATTTTTATCATGTTTTCCCGCGTAGGAATGTTTGTAACAAATTTTGCGGATAAAAAATCCCGAGCACAAAATACAAATTTTTGGAAAAATATTCGACAAATGTTTGATGTTACAACTGAATATTTATGTGCTGCTTTCACAAAAGATCGAATCGAAAATTATATGCCAAATAGAGATGCAGCTTCAGGGCTAATAAATCTAGTAACATTGAAAAGTTTTTAAAATCCTCCAGCTTTTGCGGAAAAAAAGTAAAATAATTTTTTGTCCCGTAATCGGTTGCCATAAATATGGTCACCTTATATATGTAGCTATAAGTGGCATCGATACCTTTGCGAACGTTCACTGCTGTCGTTCTCGTTCATAAGTGAACGTAAATGCTGCGGTAAATATTCGCGGAAACTGGTGTGGCTAGAGATACTATGCAATCTATGCGAAGGCAATTTTTTTAAATTGCATAAGATTTGCACTGTTCATTCCACTTTCAAAAATTAGGTGTCAAATGAAAGGGCTTGGCTTCTGGATGTGCAGTAAGGATATATTTTTTAATGGGGTTGCCACCTGCGTTTAAAATTATGATATTTACACCGTTCTCCCGATTTTCAAAAATGAGGTGTCAAATGAAAGGGATTGGCCTCTAGATGTGCAGTAAGGATATATTTTTTTAATTAGGTTGCTACCTGTGTTTAAAATTATGATATCTACACCGTTCTCCCGATTTTCAAAAATGAGGTGTCAAATGAAAGGGCTTGGCCTCTAGATGTGCAGTAAAGCTGAAATTAGTCAAGAACGCAGAACGTATACTTAAACGCAGTCTGTATACGCAGAATTTTGTCGATTACAGGAGCCCTCAGTGTTGCTTACTACAGTGTTGCCACTCATCAATGCATTTTCATAAACTTACCTTTTCAACTACAATTTTTCGTACTATAATAGATCGTAGCTAAATACAAACTGCTTAGTTTTCAACAAAAAACCTTATTCAATAGTAAATTTCAAATATTTTAAATGTATTTTGAATAGGAATTTATAACTTTTTTACCATCTGCAAAACTGACGAAGTGGCAACCATCTATAGAAGGAAGAAATCAGCTGACACGGAAGAATCTAAATTCCGCAGATTTCTGCGCTACGGGCTACAACTACAGACAAATTCTGCAGTGTTGAGTTTTCATTTACATGGCGCTCTGGTAAGACAGATCGTGTCAGCTGACTCGGGTTTGCGTACCGGTAGGTTTACGTTCTTGACTAATTTCAGCTTTAGGATATATTTTTTAATAGGGTTGCCACCTGCGTTTGAAATTATAATATTTACACCGTTCTCCCGATTTTGAAAAATGAGGTGTCAAATGAGTGGCCTTGGCTTCTGGATGTGCAGTAAGGATATATTTTTTTTTTAATAGGGTTGCTACCTACGTTTAAAATTATGAGATTTACACCGTTCTCCCGATTTTCAAAAATGACCAAAATGATGATGCAACCATCTGCAAACAAAGTACATACATACACACATACACATGCATGCATAAGCAAACGCAATTTTAACATGCTTTGGTAAGAACAACTATCTGCGTAGGAATGCCCAAGCTAGTTGGCGAAAACGGCATTTACAAAAAATATAAACCCTCTTGCACACCCGTAGGCAAAACCTCTTTATTTGACCCCACGTTTTTTAAAACCGGGCAAACGTGTAATCATTATAACTTTTTGAGAGAAGGCAACCCTATTCAAAAATAAAAGCCTTGGTGTACTTCTAAAGGCCAGGCAATTTCATTTGATACTTTTTTCGATCTTGAGGCTTGAGTTTTGTTTCGTTAATTTAGCTCTGAAACGAAACGAAATTATTTTGATAAGTTTTTTTTTGAGCATCAACAAAACGAAATCGATTCATATAGTTTGTTGAGCATCTCTGAAAATAACATCAAACTTGATACTGCCAGACAGTGGAAATTTTTAATAATAAAAGCGGATTTTTGATTCGCAGAGAACACCTTTCTGCGTAGGCGATCTTCGGCCGCACTTAGGAATTATAACCCTCACTAAGTAGAATTCTGCCTTCTGTGTTGCCGAAGAAGAGGGGACGAACCCCTTTTGCGGAGAACACCTTTGTGCTTAGGCGGCGTATTGATTTTTTAAAGCACCACCACTTTTTATTAAAAACTTTCAATACATATTGAAGTATTAAATTTAAAGAAAAGCGCCGCAGGCGAAAATTTGTAAAAAAAAATCGAGCGTTTTGATATTACAAATTTTCAATATTTATTGAAATATTGAATTAAAAAATGAAAATGAAATGAAAAAATGAATTTGGGGAAAAAAACGTCTTACCACATTAAACTCATTTTTCTTTCAATCAAAGGATACTTTTTTCATACCAGTTTGTATTTAACAAAAGTAAAAAAATAAACACATGCTATGTGATGACTCATGCTTACAAAGTAATACCGAAGTACTGCACATTAAAACTGGTATTCTCGAGAAAGCAAAATCTAACCGCAACTAACGGAAATGAATTTTAAAGGGGAAGAGTGATACTAAATGATGCCCTAAGTAGAAATGAGCAAAAAAATTTTTGTTTTCATAATAATAATGATAATAGATTGGCGCTTACACATATGTTAGAGTTTGGCTCTGATTTGTGGCGTGCGCTTTGATGTCACGCAAAGTGGAGGGACCTACAGTTTTACGCCGATTTCGAACGGCGATTGTATTTTTATGAGAAGCTGTTTTTCATGGCAGAAATACACCCCTAGGTTTGCCATTGCCTGCCGAGGGGCGCCCGCTGTTAAGAAAAATCCTTTTTCTAAATTTGTTTGCGATGTTGCTTTACCAGTGCTTGAACCCAGGCGCTGCGGAGTGAAAGCGCGCACTGCTTACCACTACACCACAGCGGCCGTAATAATGTAACAGCGCAAAAAAATCTACAAGAAACGATGTGGTGGTTAAAATATTCAAAATTTGCCGAACTGTGTAATAAATCCAATTTGTACATAATAATTATAATAAAACAAAATAAATTTAATAATTGAATAATTGTAATTATAATTAGAAAAGAAAAAAAATAAATACTTAACTTATTTACCTGCGTACTAGCATTTTCAACGCGAATACAATTTAACAAGAAGGTGCATTTATATTTGTAAATTCAGTGCTGCCACAGCTTTAAATATTTCCAATTATTTCATGTTTAACTATCTATGAGATATTTGCGTTCAGAAAAAAAAAAACACTAAAAAAGGTACTAGGCACTAAACCATTTTTTCGACGTTTTAATTTTCAAAAAGCACTAAATCTAGTGCTTAAAGCACCAAGTTGGCAACTATGCTCAACAGTGCTCTGCTACGTTCCCACGACAGTCAGGCCAAGGACTGTCACTCCAGCAACACTCCCCAAAAAGTCTTTGGGGAATTTGTATGCTGCTACAACAACAACAACAGTGCTCTGCTACATACTAAAACACGTTTCCACTTTTCCAGAGTACTTGAGTATGTTGATTGCATTCAGTAGTATTTGAAAACTTCATAGGAAATATAGGAATACTTATGAAGTTTTTTCTTTTAAAATGTTAGCATTTCACATGTTATGAAAAATAATAAAATTTCTTTTTGTCAAAATTTTCACTATATATTCACTATATTCACTATCTTACTTACAGTGCCGGACAAAAGGATTGACACAGAAAATTTTTCGCAAAATCTGCAAAGTTGTTTATTCTAATTTATTTTCGATATGTTTTATGAAAATATAGTTCGTCGTACACCAAAAAACATAGAAACTAAATCTCCAAACTCTGTGCAAAACTCAGGAAAATTAAATACTTTTGCATACTAATTTGCGTTTCTATTCAGATTTAAAAAAAAAAAATTCTAAGTATGCTGTTTTATAACCCATCTAATTTTAGTATAACAAAGTGCAAGCTTGAAGGTGCTAAAAAATCGCGTTGCTTTTTGGGATTTTTTTTCACTCAGGTTCTTCCATACAAAGTATGTTTGACAATTATTTTTTGTATGTAGGAAGTGAGCAACACCTTCCACTAAAAAAATTGCCAAAAATCAACGCTATTTTTTAGATACTTCGAGCTTGCACTTTGCACTAAAATTGAATGGGCTATAAAACTGCATACTTAGAACTTTTCTAAAAAATCTGAATAGAAAGTTGCAAATTAGTACGCAAATTTATTGAATTTTTCTGAGTTTTGAACAAAGTTTAGAGATTTTGTTTTTATGTTTTTTGGTGAAGTACGAACTATATTTTTATTCAAAAATATTGAAAA